AGACAAACTGCAGTGAGCAAGCAGCGAAAAACAACAGAGCATACGGAAACAAAATGGGTCTAACAAAGCGTTGAACAGTAATGCTGTCATTTTTAAACTACTATGAACTGTCTAGAATGTTTATGAATACTTGTCGAGGGATAGAAAATACAAGCCCAGTCTCAGACGGTCACGTGTGCAGTCTCAGCGACTAACCGCAGAGCACTCTTGGTAGAGGAAGCCCTAGCTGGAGATCCAATGAGCATCAGCATGCAGGTTATCGGGCTCTTTCCACCGCCTCCTTCATTCTCCGCAAATTACCTTTTCGTCTTTAAAGATGAAAATATTGTCACCAACATGCCCAACGTGATACCTATGAAGACGGCGAGTGAGGTGATGCCAAATCAGGCATTCGTTTGTGATTGTCTATATATAATAATAGGGAGGTCGATTACGCATCTCTCATCACTCAAAACCATATCTACGCATCAATATTATTTGACACGACATACCGGCAATTACCTGGTATGGACAGACGTTCTACATTCCCCCTTTCCAAAGGTTCTACGAAAGTCAGGCGATTCTGTTCTCCGACAAGTCCAAGTAATGAAGACACATTTAGCAAAGTTGCCAACATATCCAACTCCTAACAAAGGAAAGTCGAATGCAACGAATGAAAACTCATGACAAATGATCACATTCGGTTATTCGCCACGTTCAACACAGACATATTCGTCAAATGCAGAACACGACTTTTAACTCGGAGAAGCGCCCAATTCCTTATATGCAGACTATCAAGGTGAAATTGAGATGGCCAGTAACACGATCAATTCTTGCTAATCGCCTGCGTCCTTCACATACCGAGTTTGATAAAAAGACCCTTGCTGCACACTACAAGTCAAAACATGATTACCGAAGCGCAACTTCGTCCAGTGCGCAAAGTTATGTGAGAATGACTTGTTTGTTTAGTCAAACAACGGAAAATATATATTCAGAGAAGCACAGGAAAGAACAAAACAGCAGTAAAGAAACAATTGTATTTTAGTAATGTTTGTAAGGCAAATAATAATGCGACAGCAAAAAGCCATAGGTGTTATGCTCAAATGCTTATGTACTTTTGTGTTGTCAAATTCAAATAAAAACATTTTTAACGCACTGTTTGAGCATTTTAACCTCTGCATTTTAGGTGCATTAGCCCTAGGCGCTGGTCTTATATCTACTTGGAACAAAAAAAACTTGATACTTATCTCCCTCTCATTCTACTTTTCACTTAGGTATGTGTTTACATGATTTTAACCTATCTGCCTACCGTTTTTGCGTTAGTCAGTTTTTTTTAAAAGATCTTTATTTTAAATTGCGCTACTACAAGGTAGGATAGGCAGATACCCTTCCGGATACCAATGGTTTAAATATGAACAATGCATCTGTGGATTAGTGTATCGGACC